AGGTAAGTTTACTGTCGATTTTCTTTCTTAAAAGCCGCATAAGGCATATTTTATCTGATCTCAAATTTTTGTTTAAGCATTAATCTTTATTTTCTCTTTCATGAATTTTCTGTTGTGAGTCTAATAAATTAAATAATTTAATTCAAGCTATATAGTAATATATAGTGAAATTATTTCCTTGTGTGAGACCTTAAGAGGGACAGGTAACTCTCATTTTCACTAAAATTTCTCTAATTTCAGGAGTTGTCTCCCCTTGAAAAGATCAATATCGGCGGATAAACAATGCGACATGCAGTCTGGTCACCAACGGACAGTTTTGACACCCGTATACCCGGATTTCTACCAATTAGCTCTGTAACCTTTGTTGTGTTCATCACACAGGTAAGAAAAACAAGATTTTTAATTCAAAAAATTTTAATGAGCTAAATAATAAAGAATATAACATTTTTACATGTACAGACTCTCTTGTATAAGAAAATGTCACATTTTGCATATACAATAATACATTATTCACATGTCCACATTTTCCCCATTTACACAGTTGAAAATAATCAATGCATAATGAACCATAAAAACAATTATTACATGTAAGATACTAGTTCACAAAATATGTTTTTGATTAAAAATTTTATACATTTGAAATACATGTACATATCATCAATGCCCCCCACCCCTTCACTGTCTTACAATTTCCTTTTTAATTTTGGATCTGTTAATGATTTACTGTAAGTGTCTTTAGATTTTTTATCGTACAGCTGATATCTTTTAGATCTATAGAAATTTATATTTTAACAGTTTTTGTTTCATTTTAAAGTAGTTTTGTCTATCTTGTTGTTGTTTTAGATGATGGACCACTCTACTTCCTTTGACAACAGGTGCCCCTACAGATTCACAAAGTTCCAGTGTTGAGTTTCCATGACCCCTATTCAGTGAGTGCACAACTTTATGTATTCTACTTTCAAAATTCCTACTACTTTTAATACATTTTGGATTTGATTTTAAATATGCCCTATTTACAGATTCAGATTTTTGTGTACAAGTATGATATTTGATTCTATCAAGAGTACTTTGTCCTAAAGTCAAATTTATACAGTCTTTTAACAGACATTTGTCTTTTTCTGTCATGTTTAATACAAAGTCACTAGGCAACACTGAAGATTTCCACATATTGCTTTTCAGTCCACGACAGGAAAAGAAATAGAGTTGACAGGACTTCCCGCACTGTCCCTGGTAGCAGTTTATGAGGGAACCAACCGCAGTAGACATAGCACGCTTCATCAAAGGTAAGTCGCCATAGTAGTGTTTGTAGCAATTCTCGTACTCTGTCCAGCTGTATCGAAGCTTCAGGTCCAAGGCAAATCTTCTCTGCATGGATTCTCTTATGGCTTTGGTTCTTTGCGGAAACATGTGACTGCAGAATGGAGCCTTAGCAGTCTGTTTTCTTTGAGAGTCAAAGAAGTAATGCAAGTCCTTAAGGTTTTCAATCACATGTCCTTGTTTTTCAGATACACCAGACGCAGCGGCACTGTCTCCATCACTGGTGAAATTTGATATGACTAGTGGCCGGTCATCACTTTGTAACTCACCAACACAATTAGCGGCCCATCTCTTCTCGTCTCCAATGGTGGTCTCCGGAGGAATGGTTGCAGTGCAGTCTTCGTGTCCTGGGCAGGTAACTTCTTTTCTTTTGCTTCGTAGGTGTGCGCCTTTCTTACATGTTTATTCCCACAGAAAACTGCTACCACATTCTTCCTCTGAGTTACATTTTCACTTACGGTATACGTCACTTGGGTGGCAGCTTGGAAAGGGGTTTTCCCTGAATGGCACTGAAGGTGGCATTATTGTACTGAGCATCTCCTTCCGCTCTGATGGGGGTATCCGGAAGTCCACATTTTTAGGTCACCTGAGTAAACTATTGCTATCCGTTTTCGTCCGTCGTCGTCCGTCGTGTGTTGTGTGTCGTGTGTCGTGTGTTAACATTTGAACATTTTCAGCTTCTTCTCTGCAACCACTGAATTAATTTCAACCAAATTTGGCACAAAGCATCTATTGGTGAAGGGGAACAAAAATTGTGAATTTCATGATCCCTGCCCCCCCTGGGGCCTGAGGGGTGGGGCAAAAACCACTAAAATTAATGCAGTCTTTAAAAATCTTCTTCTTTACTCCTGGACATCAAGCAGTCAAACTATTTGCATGATTGTAATCAGCATTGAGTCCTCTACCAAAATTGTGAAATTCATGGCCCTGGGGTCAGGGGTTCTAGTGCTAGGGCGGGGCTAAATAAGTATATAGTGAAAATGCATTATTTCTTTGAAAATCTTCTTCTCTGCTCCTGGGTATTAAATAAACCAACTAAGTACATAGTTATGATGAGCAAGAGTGCCTCTACCAAATTTGTGAATTTTATGGCCCTAGGGTCAAGGGTTCTGGTGTTAGGGTGGGGCTCTATTGATTATATAGTAAAAATACATGATTTCTTTGAAAATCTTCTTCTCTGCCCCTGGGTATTAAATAAACCAAGTAAGTAAATAGTTATGATGAGCAAGAGTGCCTCTACCAAAATTGTGAATTTTATGGCCCCAGGGTCAAGGGTTCTAGTGTTGGGGGGGGGGGGGGGTCATTGATTATATAGTGAAATTACATGAATTCTTTGAAAATCTTCTTCTCTGCCCCTGGGTATTAAATAAACCAAGTAAGTAAATAGTTATGACGAGCAAGAGTGCCTCTACCAAAATTGTGAATTTTATGGCCCCAGGGTCAAGGGTTCTGGTGTTGGGGGGGGGGGAGGGCTCTATTGATTATATAGTGAAATTACATGAATTCTTTGAAAATCTTCTTCTCTGCTCCTAGGTATTAAATAAACTAACTAAGTGCATAGTTATGATGAGCAAGAGTGCCTCTACCAAAATTGTGAATTTTATGGCCCCAGGGTCAAGGGTTCTGGTGGGGGGGGGGGGGGCTCTATTTATTATATTGTGAAATTACATGAATTCTTTGAAAATCTTCTTCTCTGCTCCTAGGTATTAAATAAACTAACTAAGTGCATAGTTATGATGAGCAAGAGTGCCTCTACAAAAATTGTGAATTTTATGGCCCCAGCTTCAATGGTTCTGGTGGGGGGGGGGGGGGACTTTATTGTTTATAAAGTGAAAATACATGAATTCTTTGAAAATCTTCTTCTCTGCTCCTAGGTATCAAATAAACTAACTAAGTACATAGTGATGATAAGCAAGTGTTCCTCAACTAAGATTGTGAATTTTATGGCCCCAGGGTCAAGGGTTCTGGTGGGGGGGGGGGGCTCTATTGATTATATAGTGAAAATATGTGAATTCCTTGGAAATCTTCTTCTCCGCTCCTAGGTATTAAATAAACTAACTTAGTGCATAGTAATGATGAGCAAGTGCGCCTCAACCAAAATTGTGAATTTCATGGCCCTATCATCAAGGGTTCTGGTGTTGGGGGGGGCTCTATTGATTATATAGTGAAATTACATGAATTCTTTGAAAATCTTCTTCTCTGCTCCTAAATAAACCAATTAAGTGCAAAGTTATGATGAGCAAGAGTGCCTCTACAAAAATTGTGAATTATATGGCCCCAGGGTCAGGGGTTCTGGTGTAAGGGTGGGGCTCTTTGAAAATTTTCTTCTCTGTCTCTTGGTATGAAGCAGATGAACTACCTATATAGGGTGGGGGGCTCTACTTATATACTGGAAATGAATTAATTGTTTGAAATCTGGTCCTTTGTATTTATAAAACATTTATACTTTTTGATAGGCAATTTTAAGGGTGCCTTTTAAAAATTTGTGCAACCTAGGGTCAGAGTGTTAGTGGCACTACTGATTATTGATGAATATTACTGATTAGTTGGAGTGCATTTTGTTCCCTACCCTGCATATGGGTATTCAGTAACCAAGCTAAGCGACTGCTAAGTTTATTGTTATGATGATCAATGGTGCTCTTTCAAAATTGTGAATGCCATATAGCATCTGGCTTAAAACATGTTATTGAATCAAATTCAATACACTGTAACTGGAAAGTTGTTGCATAATGCTCAGGTGACCTATAAGGCCCGTGGGCCTCTTGTTTATTAAGTTCTTGAATATTCTGCCGAATTTTCTTCATACTGTCTTTATTTACATCCGATTAGTTCAGTTAAATAATTCTTATGGTTATATAAAAATAGTTTACAATAGATACTCCCCAGCCAAGGAGTGTGTAAGATATGAAAGGAAATTGTCATGAATTTCCGGATAATAATGGCGTGGTATAGCATGGTGAATAAAAATTGAAAAATTTTAAACTAGTAAAACTTGTTTTGAATAATTATGCTCTTCAGCTGCAAATGAAAAAAAAAGATATTTTTCTACATTTTGCATTCGCAAGCGCTCGCCAAAATTCCTTGAACGTTCACTCTGCTGAACAGGCCTCTGTTTACCTCCGTCAGGGCGTCTTGAGCTATTTCGCATCACTGAGATGATAATGTTTTGGTTTCTTTTACGACAATCTCTTTTGCATCGGTTGTAATTGATGGCTAAGACTCCACTGAGCGCCATTCATTAAATCATTGATGATAAAGACGCGTGATACACATCACACCGCGTACGATGCATGAACTCAGCTGATTGCAGTAGAAAGTGGGAGGGGGAGGAGCTTTCTTTTCAGAGGATGTTTTATCAATTCTGATTGGACATTATTCAGTCTATGTGTAGTGCCCTTTAGTTAGGTGACAGGCAGTCAATATGCTATTGCTTTTTGCTTTAGACAGTGCCCCGTCCCCAACATATGCACGTGAATTCACTCAACATGTTCAAGTTACTCAGAGTAAATGATAGCCAGAATAACTAAGGGGTGGGGCGCATTTTTGTATCATTTTATTTTTAAAAATAATACGTGTGAAGTTTTCTTATAAAAAACTTAGGATTTCATAATTTAACAGATAAACAATTCAGTATGCATTCACAGAAATCACATATTCTCTCTTCCTCCGTCGTACTTTCTCGTTGAATATTCAATAACATTACTTCTAAAATAGTATTCGTTTACCCTCTCCTGTCTCAAAATTAAATGAAAGTAACTGACACATTCACTAAATATCAATCAAATTACTTCGTAAATAAAAATAAAGATTTTTTTGTCACAGATTCTGATGCCCTAAAGAGATACGAAGCTGTAAAGACTCAAATAGGATTTGTATGGTGGAGTTTAAGAAGAAAACAAGATAAAATTTATGTGATACTCGATGGTGTTGACCTGGATTTAAAAATCAAAGGTAACATATATCTCTCTCTCTCTCTCTCTCTCTCTCTCTCTCTCTCAAGCGAAATTCGCTGCATGCACTTGATCACGAAGTGACTGTTACGATTTTACACCCTGCAGGGGAAAATTAAAAATATCAAACAGTAATGTCATCATTGTCAAACTGAAGATTAATTAAGCAGCAACCAGTTTACTAAGATGCCACAATTCTTTCTTCTGGTAAGAGAAAAATGCATGGAAATATTTGTAGTAATTATCTATAGAGGATTTTAATCATTTTATTAATTTTTTATTTTATATTTTTATTTTTATATTATATTTCTTAAGACAGACATGAAGGCTTTAAAATAACATAATATGTCCTGTATTATGTCCGTCCTTCTATCTAGGTAAACGTCCGTCTATCAGAATTTTCGTGTCCGGCTCCCAACATTTATACTTTTTCGTCTAGAATTATAAGTAGATTGTGTGTCGCACATCAAAAGAGTGCTGCATTATTTTTATTACCGGTATATACTTTACAGCAATCTGTAAAACAAATGTTATGATATAAGAGAAATTCAAACTTTTTTATTTATCAATCAATGGTCAAGCAGAATTTAGACTGCAGAGAATTGCTTGTCAAATAAATGAGTCTTTATTTATGTTTTAGCTCACAAGAGCTGAAGGTATTGTACTTTATAGTAACGCATTTTAATTGTATACTGTAGAATTTAAGATTGACAACATGCTGGGACACATTGTGAATCTGAGAGAAGAAGACTATCTGTGTGTTGAAGTAAGTAAACAATGGTTTCTGCGGTCCATTTCATTTAAATTTAACATCCTTGTGATCATATCCTGCACAAGTACAGTGTGTAGAATCACTTATTCCTATCTGAAAGTAATCAACTGTAGTTAAGAAAATTATGACGAGTTATTGTCGACACTATATTACAAATATAATTGAAATAAGTGATACATGTAGATATATTCTGCTAACCAGGCAAGTAATATTATTAAATAAATATGGGAGAGGGTTAATTATGTAATCATACTAGAATATCGATAATCAATAATTTTTTAAACCTAAATTAAATTTTCAGGTAGTCGGGAGTTACAACAATAACAAGGTTACACTGGCTGTCAGTGATTTCTGTGACAGTGCAACCGACTTAAGTAAGGAGATTGGAAAACCAAAATCCACTTCTGACTTCTGTAGATATGTAAACAAAAAGGTAAGAACAGAACTGTCGCTGTAAGTAAAAAATGTTATTATTTGAACACTGATTTGTGATCTAAAAGTAACTGTAACAAAGGATCACTTCATTATAGATAGGGATTTGACCTATAGGACCGGGCTTGGTTTTTTTCTCTACAAAAGCCTTGTCGATTTCCGTTCTGATTAATGGCATTAGGCTGAATACATATAATAATTTGTTTTTACTAAATCTTTTTTCAGCGAGTAGAGGTAGGAGGAACCCTTTCATTGATTTCCTGAGTTTGTTATCTCAAAATGTAATAATTGATATTTTTCTTAACTTCTCAAGAAGCATAATGGTAATGTTTACTGCCTCTTAAATTCTATTCTTTATGTTTAGGTACATGTAATTTTATCCGTGAATGTAGTGAAACATTGCATCAATGTGTGCAAATTATATAGGCCTAAATCAAATCCGAGGAGTACAGTTACTGATATGTATGTAGCCAAAATCAATGTTATTAAATTCTAAGGAATATGTATAATTGACATTCATCGCAGCTCAATGCTGCCAAGCTCAATGCTGCCAAGAGTACCTGTATTGAGTAACACAGAGTGAGTTATTCTTGTCCTCGGAGAAAGTGTGCGTCTTCTGAGGTTTGTTCCGCCTGACTGACAACTGTACATTGGATTTTTACGATTTGATATCTCTTTAGTGTTTCTTATATCAAGAATGGGCATGCATAAAGGATATATAATTGAAGGAAAATACACAAGGCTATAAAAAATATTAAAATAGTCTTTGAAAAGGCGAAAATTAAAAACTTTAAAAAGTGTGGTACCAAGTGGATTCGAACCCCTGACTTTAAAATGTTAGTCTGTACGGTATAAAAGTCAGCGCTTATATCAACTGAGCTAGTCTGACTATAGTATTTCTAGGTATAAATTTGAAGCACATTATCAAAATCAGGTTTCCTTATTTTTTGTAGGTTTTTTGTGAATTTCGACCCTAGGGCAGGGGTGCCCCTAAAAAAAACCTTTCTTAAATTAATCTTTACATCCAAACCTATCAAAATATCACAATTTTATTTAGGGGCAGGCCTGCCCTGAAGGACTTCTACACCAAAATTCATGCAAAAATCAACGCTTTATTGGACGAAATGGTGTTTAGGCCAACTTTGGAGGTTTATTGTAAAGTTGTTAATAATAAATTTTAGGTATAAAATACAAATTTGAAAAATTTAGACATAAATACGGTAGAAAATAACAAATAAGGATTAATTATTCAAAGTCACTTTTTCCGGGAAATTGTTCTCTCCTATAGGTCAATTCTTTTGTCAAAGCGAATACATCCTTTATCAGTTTCACGTACTTTATCTTAAAACTTTATAAAAAATGTAATTATTTGAACACTGATTTGTGATCTAAAAGTAACTGTAACAAATTTATCAGTTTCACGTACTTTATCACTATCCATGTAAAAATGTCCCATTGAAACATTTTTTCCCTAGCCTGTCCCCAAATACAGAAAATTGCAGTACTGAAGATATGAATTTCCATTTTTTTTTTTAGCTTGAAGATTGGAAAAAGGTCACTGAGGAGTGCAGTGAAAAAAGCATCAATGAAGAAGAAAACAAAGTCAATGAAGAAGGCCTGGATGACACATTTGAAAGAGGAAGCCAAAATGAGGTAGGTTTTCTAACTGGAGGAATTGGTATCTTACAAGTAAGGACTTTAAAGGGCTTTGTTAAACTATTATACAGTTATGGAATGCGTTCAGAGGGAAAAAGGAAATTTATGGTTCCTCGAGGGAGAAAACAATTTCCTGAAGCGGTGAAGGGAACCATAAGTCATGTATTTCTTTGCTTTTCCTCAGATTGGAGAAATAGGCAGCTTTATGGTATTAATTTTGTATAGAAATAACAGTAGAGGTATAATTATTTCATTTATTTCATCCATCAAATGTAATACTCAGTGATATATGTATAATTTTATATTTATAGACATTTGAGGATAATGAAGCAAATCCATGTACAACCAGTGAATCATTAAATGAAACTATGGAGGAAAGTGAGGTTTGTACTTTATGATTGAAAACACGGGTTCTTCAAAGAGACTATTCAATAGGTTAAAGAGCATTTACAGCTGATAAAAATTTTAAATTTTATGTTTTAGGTTTCGCAAAACCTGTATGCAGCAGAGGCCAAAGACAACTTTGTGGGGGAGTTCAGCGTGCCACTGAGGTACATCAAGTCAGCAGGAGAAGATAGGGCTATAAGAGCGTTGAACCCCACACATCTGGCCGACTTGTTTACGAGTTTCAACGCAAAATTAGGACATGGACTTCAACTCAGCTTTCCTCCAGCAACGGCTGTAATTTTTGAAGAGGAATATCAAGCCAATATGGAGGTGGAGCTCATTGATGGTAATCACACCCATCATGTGATGAAACAGTTGAATGAGCTTCACCCAGAGAGAGAAGACCTAAAAGCCAGGTAATAATCTCAGCCATACATAATAATGATCTCATCAAAGAACAAAAAAAAAAAATGCATACATAAATCAGTTGACAAAGGTGTGATCAAGAAAACCATGTAAATCAAGAGTAGAATATCTGGCACACAGAAACAACTTTTATATGTTTATCTTTTAGAAGTCATCATATACAAAAAAACTATCGACTGGTGCCATGTCCTACCTTGGGTTAGCAAGGAATGAGGAAACAACAAATAGTCTAAAGACATCACAAATAGAGGAACTGAAAATCATGAGGAACATATTATTTCATAAATATGGTGGAAAGTTTTCGATAAAATATCAAGATGATATTTATCAGCTGTATAATGCCGTGGTAAGACATTTTTTTGTTTGCTTTTCATCATACAACTAATATATATATATGTGTAAAACATTGGTCAGGGGATACAAAGATGGTTTGTAGTTGAATATGACTTTTATCCACTTTGCTGTGTGTTTTTATCCCATCGCCAAGGGTCGATGATATAATCCACACAACTTGTTGGGAAAAAAATATATCCAACTCAAAATCATAGATGCTGTATATTTATATATTTAGTATTACACCAAATTTATTATTCAAAAATAAATACGTAGATAAAATATCATTAAAAAGAAAATACAAGTGGTTATTCTTTTAAGTGATTCCATATATATTTCCTTAGTGTATTGGTGATCGAAAGGAAGAAGAAAAGCGAAAAAAGCGGCTACAACACCTAATACGCCTCTCCACCATGGACACCAGTTGCTGGAGCCTGGTGGAAGAAATTGCCCGTCTGTATCCAGCAGTCACCATCTTTTCTTTCCGGGAAGTCAGCTGGTTAAGTGTTGACCAGACTCTGGAGATCCTTCATAAAGTCATCGACGAAGGTATCAGCATTGCCAAAATGAAAAAGTTGTTCAAAGAATGCCCTTCTCCTCCAGAGTCGGCAACACTTGCCTTACAAAGATTGCGAGTACAGGTATGTATTTAAAGATTTTTCAAATAAATGAGGATAAATAAATTTTTCATCTATTGTGCTTTGTAAAAAACAAATAAACGAAATGTTTAATCTTCATTTAGGCTCCCAAAGAAAGGAAAGACAGAAAGAGAAAAAGTGATACATCAAGTAATGCATCGAATGCATCAATTCCCAAGAAGGTAATTAAGTCCAATTGAAAAAGATGTTACACTGGATAAAAAGTCCTTATTGCTTATCTTTCATTACTATGATACAGCTTCTCTTTTTCATCAAGCTTTGTTTGCTTAATAGGTACTGTAGATTCCTGAATATACATGTGGAATTAATCATATATTGCTAAATATCGCAAGAAGCATCAATTACTTACCTTTATTTTTATGGTGCTGAAATCTATGTTACTAAATTTCTTAATCATTCGATCACTAGCTATTTATTATTCTCGTGATGTGCCAATGAAAGGCTCATTCGCGATGATAAGAACTAGTGAAATATGAGGAATTTACAGTACCTTCAACAGAAATAACAGAGACATGCAACAACAGCAATGTAAGGAAAATTGAGTTAAAAGAAAAAAAAGTTCTTATATTCAAGATGATTGTTCTTTAAAGTCAATGTGATCATTACAAAGAGAAAAAAAAATGTGTCTTCCTGACTTTTGTAAATTAATATTTTTGGTTTAAACTTGAAGTTTAAAAATGTGTGTGTGAGAGAGGGGGTGTTCAAGGGAGGGCGTGTGTGTATTTAACAAAACATCAAATATTACTCTTATTTTTTCATAGGTTGAACTGAATGGGTGTGAAATGACTGATCTAAAGGAGGAATGTAGAAATTTACAAGTAAGAAAATTTATGAAATCTTACAGAATACAATTGGGTTTGAAAATTCTATATTATATTTATACTAAAGAAATTTAAACTTCAAATCTTTAATACTAAGGATATAAATAGACAGTAATACAGGTATAAAGTGTGCATTATAGACTTAATTCAGACTTACAATTTTTAAAGTACAATTTGAAGATGATTTCAGGAAGTAATCAATGTTGAACCTCTTTACCATATGTCATATTCATGTATTGTAATAAAATATTCTGCACTTTTTAGCATGATATTGAAGAGAAAAGGAAACTGCGGAGTACCATAGAGGGTGATTTATCTAATTTGCATGATGTGAGTTTTTAACAATTTTACTCTTCGAAAATTTTAGCAAGTTATATCTCTGTAAGGTGCATATATATTATATAATTGATAAAAATGTACAAATTTGTGAAAATGTATTTGTTCCAAAAGATGAAGATTTTTTAGATGCTTCCTTATGAGGATCACTTAAATGCATTAAGCTCAAAAATGCAGTAAATGATTGTTTTATTATACCTTTCATTTTTTTATTAATTTTTTTGACATACATGTAGCTCATGCTAGATTCAGTGATGAAAAATTTCCATTACGTGCACTAAGATTATAAAATCCAGTCATTGTCAAGCACCAATGTATGCAAATGAGACTTAGTAATTCATTGGAATAGCTAGTTTTTAAAATAAAGATTTATATAGGAAAAGAATTTTAAATGCACATCAATTACAATCTTTTTTGTGGATTATTATTATTATATACTTATTTCGTGTATGCTTTTGTTAATACCAAAGTTCTTTTTAACAATTAAGGCTTCATTTTTATTTCCAGAGAGAAGTTCTAAGTACCACAAGAGAGAAAAAAGAGTTAGAGAGAGAATTGTCATCATTAAAGGTAAATAGAAATATATAATATATCATTGCTATACAAGTACTTTAAGATCATTTTCTTACTGACGGATAACAGTAGAATAATCAATATAAGAAATATTGTAAGAGTAATGGCATAATGACTTCACTAGACAAGTAAAATTATGATACCTTTATAATCTATTGCAGGATGATATACAGAACAGCAAAGAAGAAAAAAGAGCTCTAGAAGTAGAAGTGGAATTACTAAAAGTAAGAGAAAATATAACTGTAATACTGCTGTTGTATTATTACGTTTATAATATTATTATTGTATATAAATATTTTCTGTTGTGTTTATAATTATGCAACTTTTGTCATGATAACAAAACTTGATGATTAAATAAGTGAAAGGTCGTACATGTAGATGTAAACAAACTTCGAAATTTGTATATTAGATTTAAGTATGCTTATAATCTATGTATGCTTGCTGCAATATATTTTCATAGTTGTTTTTGCCTTATAGAGTCAAAGATCCAGTCTAAGTCTAAGAATACACGACCTAAAAGAAGACTCATTGCTGTTAAAAGTAAGCAAAATTTTATTTAATCATTGAATTCATATTTTTGGATGTTTTTGGGCCTATAACACACCATAAAACACCTATAACAAACCTGTGGTTATATAATTTGTGAATTTAGCATCCTTTAAAACTGGTGTGCTTTATAGACACAAGAGCTGTTTCAGACAGATGCAGAATTAAATAAGGCAAATGAACATTGAGAGAGAAAACGACAAATTAATTTTAATAGCAAATTGTTGTATTTTTGCATTATTTGAACAGATTTAATTTTTTATTAAATTGAGTCAAAACAATGTACATTTTGTTGTTATAAAGTACTCTAATGCGCTGTGATAAGGTTTCGCGTGTGTCATAGAGATTTGAACTTTGTGGATTTCTAATGGATTTTATAAAGAAAATTACACTGAATGTAAATATATAATTTTGAATAGGATTAAGTCTGTGTCTACATGCTTGTGATTTTTATACCCCCGCAAACGAAGTTTAGGGGGGTATATTGGAATCACCATGTCCGTCTGTCTGTAGACAAGATTTTGTCCGGACTGTTTCTCAGAAACTGTTGGATTGATTTGTCTGAAAATTTATACACTTATTATTCACCATATGAAGGTGTGCACCTGGGATTTTCATCATGATTGGATGATTTTTCTGCATTTTACAGGCGTTTTTTCTTTTTTATTTTGTGATTTTGTTTGGCTCATAACTAGAAAACTATTAGACTTACAATCATCAAACTTGGACAATTTATGCATCTTGGGTAGACGGTGTGTCCCAACCTATTTCAAGGTCACTGTGACCTTTAATTTAAGTGATTTTAAAAAAAAAAAAAAAACTAAGTCTTTAAAATTTAAAAAATGCTAAATTAAGTAAAAACTTATTTTTTATCATATACTTTACAGCAAATTCTGTAACAAATGTTAATGATTTGAGAGGAATTCAGTTTGTCCCATGGGCATAATTATCAGCACTGGTCAAGGAAAATTTTTGATAGCAGAAATGTGCATGTCAAATTAGAGAGAAATTAATGAGTTCATTGTCTGAGTTAACTGGCAAGAACATCATGCAGTATAATATCTTAATTAATCTCTTGGGAGTTGGGCAAAAAGAAATGGCCTTATAGTTGCTTGTGTTAATTAAGAGATCTTGATGGCTGTAGTTCAGATCAAGATCTTTCAATTGGTATAATGTAATGAAAACAAATTGATGTTTTAGTGTATGATTGAAACTGAATTAGTATTGTATAATATAATAAAATTAATTATACATGTTTTCATTGAAAAAAAAATTACATTTCAATTTTTATATATTTGCAACAAATTGCAGTCATGTCTCACTTAGAATTTTATAGTCTAAATAATAATTAATTTTTGATTTTTTTTATTAGATTGTAGCATTTCCATTATTTCATAAAATATTCAATAAACAATTTAAAGCTGCAGATGGATATTTGTTAAGCTCTAACACAGCCAGTTTAGAATTATATGATGTATTATTTGTTTTAATTAATCCCTACACTGTAAGTCTCTTAGAGATGTATGTACAATATTTTAAACATGATAAGAAATGGAAATTAGATCATTGAAATCTGTGTCAATCTGTTAATCAAGCTAGGTTACTTGATTTTCTTGCACCCTAACCAATTTATGATTATCGAACAATATTTGATGGGCGTATCATGCTGTGGCGGGGCACTTTATTAGACAATAGTGAACACCTCTTACTAGATCCATGAAATATTTCTGAATTGGCACCTACTCTGAAAAACCCAGCGGGGGTATTTGTCCCTATTGGACAGTTCTAGTTGTAATTATTGTGATAAAGATTTCTATAGTTTAAATTCAACAATTGGAAATACATGTAAAATATATATTATGAATTAAAATTAGTGGAGAAATCAAAACTTCAAAACAGAATTTGAGAAAAAACTATTTACATGTAATGATGTAAATAATCTCTTGAAACAATGAGTAGATTTTCCATCATTTTGTGTCATCTATTAAACCTTATAAGATGTGTTGCATTATTTTTAGGCATCATCTTGCAAGGAGTATGAAAATGAATCAGCTACACGGGTAAGTAGTTATACATCAAATCAGAAGAGTTTACCCTTTTCCTAAATTGATTTGAGTATAAGTGACAAAATTGAAACATTTTGCATGACAATAACATAAAATTTTCAAATTTTGTTAAATGTTGGCTCTTCAGACATTTATATTTTGTAAATTTGGCCGTTGCTCTTCTTTAACATTAAACTGCCTGAAAAGCCAAACATGGCAAAGGCACTTGCAGTAAATGTTTTGTAATATTTTTTTTTTATTTTACTTTAAATATTCCCAAAAATGGTACCGATTCGTCATTTTGTTATATATATTTATATATATTGCAGATTGACACAAGCATGCCATTTGCAACCCCCGCAACTCAGAGTGTAGGATTCAAACCTCTGCCTGCGCATCCTGCATTTGTAAGTAAATTTTAAAGCAAATGACAATGACATTAAATGCCAAAATTATAATGAATTTTTGCAACAAATAAGTCTGGAAAAAGAGATACGTGTAAATCTAGATCTGATAGCAATTAGTTGCTACTTACATATAGAAGAGGTAAAGCCATTTTTCAAAGAATGAATACTTGTCTGCTTCCGACTCAAGGTAAAATTATTTGTTGGTCCATTTTAAGAAGAAAAGATTTCTCTTGAGAATTTCAAAATATTTTTTGACAGGATAAGAGAAATAAAAAGAAAAGAGGCCATGGGCCAAGTCACTAACCTGAGTAAATTTGGCCATTATTCTTCTTTACCAGATGCATTCCCCCTTTGTAATACACTGTACCTATTGTGACCACACCTTACCCCAAGGGATCTTAATTTAAATAATTTAACATCTCGCTACCAAAGGCTAGCCGGATGCTTCCACATAAGTTTTCAGGTTTCTTTGCCAAATAGTTCTTGAGAAGAAGATTTTAAAAGATCCTTTCTTTATATTCCAATGTAAAACTTAGTGACCCCGCCCTCATGATTTTATTTTTCAATTTAGATTCTTCACTATCCAAGGATGATTCCTCATGAGTTTAAGTTTTTATGGCCCAGTGGCCCTTGAGAAATTCATTTTTACAATTTAAACACCCCTTCACCCATAAATGATTGGTACCAAGTTTGGTTTAAATGGGTCCAGTGGTTATTGAAAAGAAGTCAAAAATGTGAAAAGTTTACAAACAGAAAATTAGTGACAAAATATAATCAGAAAATCTCACTTGAGCCTTCGGTTCAGGTGAGCTAAAAAGATAAATCACAAAAATCTTTTTTAAAAATTTAATCGGCTATTTTAGTCACTTGGGGAGAGTGCAGCCAAACAATCTTTTAAAGATTGTAAAAATGATCTTTTTTTAATCACCTTTGGGTCTCATCTATGGGAGCCGTCCTTACCACATCAGAAAAGATAAATTATGCCAACTTTGCTTCTATCATCTTTAATTATAAGTATCTGGGCTAAAATATATCGATGCAATTCACTCTGCCCAGCATAACTCTGTCCAAAATTTTGCATTGATGTAATAAATTAGTATCCTTAGTCAATGGAAAAATTTCAATAAATTGTTTACAATTTATTGCTTACAAAATTTTAAAAAGCCTGTAAATCAGTTTTACCACTCAAATATATATATATATATATATATATATATATATATATATATATATATATATATATATAAATATATTTATATTTTACAGGGTATCGCAGAAGAGAAATGTGTCACCGCAGAGGTTGTAGAGTACAACAATAAGAGGGTGTACTTGGGCGTTTTAGAACTTGACAATTTCACATATTGCAAGACTTTCATTGGAAAACTTGACGAACAGTTTTGCTTGTCAAACCTTAATGCCAATTCATTAACACTGAACAAAAAAGATGTACAAAAATTTGGCAAAAAAGAAAAACGATTTCTTATTTTGTCCTGTACTTGTCCTATTAAAGACTTACAATTGGTTATTGACAATGAAAAATGTAAATACATCAATGAAGAAGTTTTGCGTTATTACCAAAAGAAAAAGAACATTTAAAATGAGAATTGTTCAATTGTGAAAAATATGTGGAAAGTTTTATAAGTTGTTAAATCATCGTTCATAAAAGGAGTTTTATTTGTGAAAAGTACAGTTGTCAAGCAATTTTGAAAAATCTGTGAATTGAAATCTGGACATATATTTTCCTTTTCAAACAATTGTTCAGATGTTAAGTTTGATCTTATTAAATGTCAATCTGTAAAAATACATATTAAGGTATTTTGGTCATGTACATCTGTTTGTTTGTTAGTTTTTTTGTGTCCGGCTAATAGATAATGACCTTTTGGCTCCAGCTGTAAGGGGTGAGGGTGTAACGGATTCCAAAAATAAATTAATGCTTTGAAATCTGCTCTTTGAGATCGATAAACCTTTTATGATGAAGTAAAATTTATGTTAAAATTTCAAAAAATTTTAGAATTTTGTGGCACCAGGGTCAGTGCTTCCTGTTAGTTGGGGTGCACAACTAGTTATTATAAAGTGGAAATGCATTTTCTCTTTGTTAGTTGTTACTCTAATCTTCCTCTGGGAATTAAGTAAGCATGCTAAGTGTTTACATGTACATGTGTAGTAATGATTACCAATGATGCCTCTTTCAAAATTGTGAATTTTATAGACTTTGGTTTGAAACAAAGCAAATTCAATTTTTGTTAAGTCGTAAGATGATACTTCAGGTGACCTTTAAAGCCCATGGGCCTCTTGTTGATTAAAGAATCTTCTCTGAGTTGACAAACCTTGGTTTTGATCTAACAACAAATTGTGAAAATATTTTCTTAAAACTTGAAGTGCTGTTTTTAATCAATTTTGTTGATTGGCAATAATTATTCTGATCTTCTAACAACTTTTTATGCATTTCAAGAACTGAATTGTAGCATTCTTAAAAAGCAGTTGTTAAAATATTTTGTGAAATACTTCTAGTATTCTTGAAAAACATTTGTAAATATTTTATAAATTCTTCTAGTATTATTAAAAAGAAGTTGTAAAGATTTTTTTTTTTGAAATACTTCTATAGTATTCTTAACAAGCACTTGTAAATATTTGGAGAAATACATCTAGTATTCGTAACAAGCAGTTGTAAATATATTGTAAATACTTCTAGTATTCTCAACAAGCAGTTGTAAATATATTGTGAAATACTTCTAGTATTCTTAACATTAAGCACTTGTAAATAGTTTGTTAAATACTTTGGGAATTCTTAACAAGCACTTGTTAAAAACATTTTGTGAAATACTTCTGGTATTCTTAACAAGCACTTGTTAAAAATAGTTTGTTAAATACTTCGGGAATTCTTAACAAGCACTTGTTAAAAACATTTTGTGAAATGCTTCTGGTATTCTTAACAAGTACTTGTTAAAATATTTAGTGAAATGCTTCTGGTATTCTTAACAAGTACTTGTTAAAATATTTTGTGAAATACTTCTGGTATTCTTAACAAGCAGTTGTTAAAAAAAATTGTGAAATACTTCTGGAATTCTTAACAAGCACTTGTTAAAATATTTTGTGAAATACTTTGGGTATTCTTAACAAGCACTTGTTAAAATATTTTGTGAAATACTTTGGGTATTCTTAACAAGCACTTGTTAAAATATTTTGTGAAATGCTTCTGGTATTGTTACCAAGCACTTGTTAAAATATTTTGTGAAATATTTATGGTATTCTTAACAAGCAGTTGCTCAAAATATTTTGTGAAATATAAATGGTAATCTTAACAAGCACTTGTTAAAAATATTTTGTGAAATACTTTTGGAATTCTTAACAAGCAGTTGTTAAAATTATTTTGTGAAATACTTCTAAAATTCTTAACAAGCAGTTGTTAAAATATCTTGTAATGGTTTTGGCATTCTTAACAGGCAGTTGTTAAAAATATTTTGTGAAATACTTCTAGTATTCTTAGTGACCAGTTGTTAATTTTCTTTCTGTGAAAGACTTCTGGTATTCTTAACAAGCAGTTGTTAATAATATTATCTGAAATAAAAGGTGAAAAATATGCATAGATTTCAGTATTTTTTGTACTTAACAACTGTACAGAAGTTTTGATTATATGGAATTGATCAAGTTAAAATGGAAGGTGTTATCGGTTATAATTTTCCCTACTTTGTTGCAGGTCTGTTTGCATGTTGGTGGCTGACGCTGGTTCAATATTTGCACCAAGAAGCATACCACACATACCCTCTGTTGTAAGACTGGTACCCATGCAGGTGACCGACAGCCATGGCCACATTCAGCTGTGCAGCTCTTCATCCCCTGCCAGATCTTCTCACCTCTTCATAAAGCTTTTCTCGGTGACTGGTATAGTGGCACTTCTTACATCAAATGGAAAGGATCCATGCCAGGCCTCGTTTTTCCTCCCCATGCTGATTCCAGTCCAGTTGACCATCACAGTCTGGAATTAACTTCTGTGAGTGTTCTTTAAATGCATTGTTCCACAATTTAGCAGTCTTTTCTTGGTGAAGTACTTTGTATAATTTTGAATTTGGGTCATCTGACACAGATTCCATGTAGGTGTCCACTGGCTGGACCTCACTTGTCCCGGGTCGTAAAAACTTCATCTCGCTGCTTCGGCTCTTGGCATCCATAACTGCAAACACCCCATTTTTCTGTGGCCATACAATGTCCTGAAACTCTTCTTTACTTAGTCTTCTTATGGGAACCAGAGATTTGACTCGGCTGGTGGTCCCTATCTTCTTCTGGTCTTTGTTGTGAGGAATACTTCCTTTTTTGTATTGATGTTGATGCAACCATCTTGGTCCTTTTTTGGCCTGGTAATTATTGAACTGTATACTTGTAGACTTTTTCTAAGAATATGCTATTGTATGTTGTGCACATTTTTAAGTATTGTAAACTTTTGTGTTGTTTATTTATTTTAGAGCTGCCTGGTCTTCTAAGAGAAACTCCATTCTTTGATGACTGATGGAAAAGCCTCATCACCCCCCACTGCTTAAGAACCCCTTATCTTAATCACCAGCCATTAATCAGTGATCACTGTTATCAAAGCTCCAAGGTACATTATTGAAGTCTCTTTTGACACAATTTTTTCCAGTCTCTGACTTTGTTTTAAAATTAAGATTTTCACTTTTTTGCTAATTATACCCCCCGCAAACAAAGTTTGGGGGGTATATAGGAATCACCTTGTCCGTCTGTCTGTCTGTCCGTCTGTCTGTGCAATCGTGTCCGGTCCGTATCTTTCTTACAGAGGGACATTAGAATCTACTACTCCACACTAAGATTGCTCATGACCTAAGGGTGTGTCATGACCTTGACCCAAGGTCATTTGGGGAAGTTCAAGGTCACTGGAAGAAAAATTTAATAATTCGTGTCCGGTCCATATCTTTCTTACGGATAAACTTGGTAGGTTCTCATTTCACACAAAGATTGCCCATGACCCAAGGGTGTGTCATGACCTTGACCCAAGGTCATTTGGGGAAGTTCAAGGTCACTGGAAGAAAAATTTAATAATTCGTGTCCGGTCCATATCTTTCTTATGGATAAACTTGGTAGGTTCTCATTTCACACAAAGATTGCCAATGACCCAAGGGTGTGTCATGACCTTGACCCAAGGTCATTTGAGGAAGTTCAAGGTCACTGGAAGAAAAAATTCAAAATTCATGTTTGATACATATCTTTTATGGATAAACTTGGTAGGTTCTCATTTCACACAAAGATTGCCCATAACCCAAGGGTGTGTCATGACAATTGACCCAAGGTAATTTGGGGAAGTTCAAGGTCATTGGAAGAAAAATTTCATATTCGTGTCCGGTCCATATCTTCCTTATGGATAAACTTGGTAGGTTTTCATTTCACATAAAGATTGCCCATGACCCAAGGGTTTGTCATGACCTTGACCCAAGGTCATTTGGAGAAGTTCAAGGTTACTGGTAGAAAAATTTCATAATTTGTGTCCGGTCCATATCTTATGGATAAACTTGGTAGTTTCTCATTTCACACAAAGACTGCCCATGACGGAAGGGTGTGTCATGACCTTGACCCAAGGTCATTTGGGGAAGTTCAAGGTCACTGGAAGAAAAATTTCATAATTCGTGTCCGATCCATATCTTTCTTATGGATAAACTTGGTAGGTTCTCATTTCACTCAAAGATTGCCCATGACCCAAGGGTGTGTCATGACCTTGACCCAAGGTCATTTGGGGAAGTTCAAGGTCACTGGAAGAAAAATTTCATAATTCATGTTTGATACATATCTTTATTATGGAAAAACTTACTTCTGAAAAACCCAGCGGGGGGTATTTTGTTCCGCTTGGACAGTTCTAGTTAATTCCTTAAAAATCAGTGAACTTCCTGTTTCTTAGCTACCCAAACAGAAAAAAACGTCTATCGGATCATGCTAACAACTCATGTTTAAATCATGGTTTTGATATGATTTCGGTATAGGAAAATTTCACATGCAAATGAGCTAATGGATCATGGTTCTGAGATGATCTTTTAATCTAAACAACTAGCAAGAAAACCATGATCTTGGTATGATCTGTTGTAGCTAACAACTTGTATTAAAACCATGATCCTGGAATGATCTGTTGTAGCAAACAACTCGTATTAAAACCATGATCCTGGAATTATCTGTTGTAGCAAACAACTCGTATTAAAACCATGATCCTGGTATGATCTGTTGTAGCTCACAACTCGTATTAAAACCATGATCCTGGTATGATCTGTTGTAGCTCACAACTCGTATCAAAATCATGATCCTTGTATGATCTGTTAAATTGAACAACTCATAGGAAAATTCTACTTCTTTTACAATTTTACGAAACACTTTGATATTTTCAATAAAGTTCTCTTTAATATTTGATAAATAATTTCAGTTACCAAAAATTAAGAAAAAATATTATACACATATTTCACATGAACCATGATGTCATATAAATATAATCCCAACAAATGATCTTCCTTAATAAGATGACGATCTTAATATAAAACATTATCCAAACAATTCACTGAATTTTATAAAAACAGAATCACAGAAATCCATTCTTCTTAAAGAATAATCCGGAACTCATTGATATCACTGCTTGTTTATGATTCTGCAAAAGCATATAATTACAACATTTGTTCACTACAGAATCAGCTGAGTGGCAGATCTATTATTCAGAATCACAAACACTGAAAGGGCTCCCAATGAAGTAGTCTATCCTCTGATATAAGCTCTTTATATGTGTATATAAGCACCCTGAAAAGAAACATAAAGAAAGTGGTATTTATTTATCGATCAACATATTATCTTTAGATCATGAAAATATGAAATATTCAAGTACTTTCCCCATTTCATTAGTGAAAATAATTAGATTGATCACCAAAAGAATAATATTGTTGAAATGTAATATTATTTACGTACACAAATTTTGTCTTCACCAAAGGCGGTCTTTTGAATTTGGTAATTGGAATCCAACTCAGATGTTAATCATGAAGATGGAAATGTCGGTAGCTGCAAAAGAATTTAATTTTTATAAAAAAACATTTTATATAACGATTAACATGTACAACAAATATTTGAATCAAGGAGGTCAATTTGATGCTTAAATTAAGATTTCAATTCAAATCCATGTAAAGCTTTGTTATGTCTCTTCTACAAATTTACAAAGAAAAATTAAATCATGCACTTGCTGGTAGAAACTAGAAATTAAAAAAGGTCAATAATAAAATTAATGAATTATACTTACCCAGTATAGAGTTAATAGTCCAGCACCTATTTTTATTGCTTATATGATGCGAAGGCTTTTCTTTTAAATCGGCAACAAGAAAACGCGCACATCTTGTTTATAACTCAGAGACATTTTGTGCAAATTTCATTTAATTTCATTTAACTTTTAGTTGTCTTAAAGGTGTTACACAAGGAAATAGCCAATCAAAATGAACCTAGTCAATTGAAGTTCCATATATTTAGAGACAATTTTTTTTTTTCATTTTTGGCAATTTGTTTTAGGCCTACAGTATTAAAATTGGACTCATGTACTAGGATTATCATTTCCTTAGCAGAATTATCCCACTGAATTAAAAGGAACTCTTTTTTCAGGTGCGCATGATGCAGCTTCCTGGATGGTGTGTAGGCTGTTTGTCAACATGTGAATCCCACGTGCATTTCGGGGTAGGTAAGTTTACTGTAGATTTTCTTTCTTAAAAGCCGCATAAGGCATATTTTTTCTAATCTCAAATTTTTGTTTAAGAATTAATCTTTATTTTCTCTTTCATGAATTTTCTGCTGAGAGTCTAATAAATTAAATAATTTAATTTAAGCTATATAGTAATATATAGTGAAATTATTTCCTTGTGTGAGACCTTAAGATTTATATTTTTAAATTAACAGTTTTGTTTAATTTTCAAATAATTTTGCCTATTTTGTTGTTGTTTTAGGGGATGGACCACTCTACTTCCTTTTACAACAGGTGTAGATTCACAAAGTTCTGATATTGAGTTTCCATGACTATTCAGTAAGTGCAATATAACTTTATGTATTCTACTTTCAAAATTTCTATACTTACTTGTACTACATTTTGTATTTGATTTTAAATATGCGGTGCCTATTTACATTGCTTTTCAGTCAACAGCAGGAAAAGGAATAAAGTTTACGGGACTTTCACACTGTCCCTGGTAGCCACTTATGATAGAACCAACAGCTGTAGACATAGCATGCTTCATTATAGGTAAGTCTCCTGAGTAGTATATGTAGCAAGTCTCATACTCTGTCCTGCATGGAAGCTTAAGACAGGTCCAAGGTAAATCTTCTCTGCATGGATTCTCTTATGTTCTTGGTTCTTCCTGGAAACATGTGACTGCTGAATGGAGCCTTAGCAGTCTGTTTTGTTTGAGAGTCAAAGAAGTGACGCAAGTCCTTAAGGTTTTCAATAACATGTCATTGTTTTTCAGATGCACCAGATGCAGCGGCACTGTCTCCATCACTGGTGAAATGGGAATATGACTAGTCAGGTCGGACATCACTTTGTAACTCGCCAACACAATAAGTGGCCCATCTCGTCTCCAATGGTGGTCTCCAGAGGAATGGTTGCAGTGATTCCTTGTGTCCCATGCAGGTGACTTCCTTTCTTGTGCTTTGTATGTCCCTTTCTTGCATAGTTTATTATCACAGAAAACTGCCACCACATTTTTCTTCTGAGTTACATTCTTACTTACGGTGTAAGTCACTTGGGTCGCAGGCTTGCAGCTTGGAATGGGGTTTTCCCAAAGGCGCTGAAGTTGGCATTATTGTACAGAGCATATCTTCTATTGCTCTGATGGGGGTATCAGGAAGTCCACATTTTTAGCTCACCTGAGCCGAGGGCTCAAGTGAGCTTTTCTGATCAAAATTTGTCCGTTGTCTGTCGTTGTTGTCGTCGTAAACTTTTCACATTTTCATCTTCTTCTCAAGAACCACTGGGCCAATTTCAACCAACTTGGTACAAAGTATCCTTGGGTGAAGGGGATTCAAGTTTGTTCAAATGAAGGGCCAGGCCCTTTTCCAAGGGGAGATAATTATGAATTAGAGAAAAATTAATGGCATTTTTAAAAAAATCTTCTTCTCAAGAACCACTGGGCCAATAAAGCTGAAACTTATGTGTAAGCATCCTAGGTAGTGTAGATTCAACTTTGTTCAAATCATGACCCCCAGGGGTAGGGTGGGGCCAAAATGGCCACTCAAAGTTTTACATAGGAATATAAAGGAAAAATCTTTAAAAATCTTCTTCTCAATAACCACTGGGCCAGGAAAGATGAAACTCATTTGGAATCATCCGCAGGTAGTGTAGATTCAACTTTGTTCAAATCATGACCCCCAGGGGTAGGGTGGGGCCAAAATGGCCGATCAAAGCTATACATAGGAATATATAGAAAAAATCTTTAAAAATCTTCTTCTCAAGAACCACTAGGCCAGGAAAGATGAAACTCATGTGGGATCATCCTCAGGTAGTGTAGATTCAAGTTTGTTCAAATCATGACCCCCTGGGGTAGGGTGGGGCCAAAATGGCCGATCAAAGTTTTACATAGGAATATAAAGGAAAAATCTTTAAAAATCTTCTTCTCAATAACCACTGGGCCAGGAAAGATGAAACTCATTTGGGATCATCCTCAGGTAGTGTAGATTCAAGTTTGTTCAAATCATGACCCCCGGGGGTAGGGTGGGACCAAAATGGCTGATCAAAGTTTTACATAGGAACATATAGGGAAACCTTTTAAAATCTTCCTTTCAAGTACTTCAAAGCCAGGCTTCGTTATATATATAGGGAATCATCCTCAGGTAGTGTAGATTCAAGTTTGTTCAAATAATGACCCCCTGGGGGGGGGGGGGTTGTAAAATTCACGCCCCCCCCCCCCCCCCCCCGCAGTTTACTTTCAGTTCTGATCTGATCTGTGTTTTTTCCTAGCCAATTGCTCAGGTGAGCGATGTGGCCCCTGGGCCTCTTGTTCATTAAGTTCTTGAATGTTCTGCCTTGTTTTACTTCATACTGATTTATTTACATCGATAATAATTTTCCCCACTTTTTTGCAGGTCTTTGCATGTTGGTAGCTGACGCTGATTCAATATTTGCACCAAGAAGCATACCACGCACACCCTCAGTGTTAAGACTGTTACCCAGGTGACTGACGGCTGTTGTCACATTTGGCTGTGAAGTTCTTCATGAAGTTTTTCTTGGTGACTGGTAACATTTCTGACATCAGATGGAAAGGATCCATGCCAGGCTTAGTTTTTCCTCTCCATGCTGATTCCAGTCCAGTGAACCATCACAGTCTGGAAACTTATGTGAGTGTTCTTTAAATGCATTGTTTAATGCAGTCTAAAAAATTTCTTGGTGAAGTACCTGTACTTTGTATAATTTTGAATTTGGGTAATCTGTCACAGATTCCATGTAGGTGTCTACTGGCTGAACCTTACTTGGCCCAGGTCATAGAATCTTCATCTCACTACTTCATGCAGCTTTTGACATCTATAACTGCAAAAGTCCATTTTTCTGTGGCCGTACAATGTCCCCAAACTCTTCAGATCTTTACTTAGTCTTCTTATTGGCACTAGAAATTGGACTGGGCTGGTGGTCCCTATATTCTTCAGGCCTTTAATGTTGTGAGGAATTACTTCCTTTTTTGTATCGGCATCCATTTTGTTCCTTTTTTTGCCATAATAATTATTTAAGGTATATACTTGTAGACTCTTTCTATTAGCCTATTGTATGTGGTGCACATGTTTAAATTTTGTTAACTTTTGTGTTGTTTATTTATTTTAGAGCTGCCTGGTCTTCTAAGAGAAATCCATTCTTTGGTGACTGATGGAACTCATCACTCCCCACTGCTAATTAAAGAACCTGGCCTTATCTAAATCACCACCCATTAATCAGTGATTACTTGTTATCAAAGCTCTAAGGTACATTATTCAGAAGTCTCTTTTGACTCCATTTTTTTCCAGTCTTAACTGTTTTATTATTAAGATTATCTTCTCTTGTTTATTGCTAATTAATTCCTAATAAAACAGTTAACATAATTAAAGGGGACTCTTTTTTTTAGGTGCGCATGATGCAACTTCTTGGATGGTATGTAGGATGTTTGTCAACATGTGAATCCTATGTGTATTTTGGAGTTAAGGTATGTTTATACTTTGTCAATTTTCTTTCTTTAAAGCTGCTTAATTAAGGCATATTTTTTCTGATATCAATTTTTTGTTTAAGAATTAATCTTTATTTTCCCTTTCATGTATAAACAGTATTTTTTGCGAGTATTTAATGTTTACATTATTAGCAAGGGTGCTGAGATTGCTAGAATTAAATATCACTAAAATTTAATTGCGTTTTAGTCGTAAAAGCTTCTTTATTGAGCATTTTTAAAATCTCTAAAATTACTTCTCGCTAAAAATAAAACACCAATTTTTAAGGACAGATTGCTTAATTTACATCTCGCTAAAATTTCTAATTATCTGCTGAGAGTCTATTAATTAATTAATTTAATTGAAGCTTTATACAGTTAAGTAATATATAGGGATATTAATTTAATCCTTGTATGAGACCTAAATACTTGTATTTAAAATGAATAATATTGTAAAAAAAAAAATATTAATTGAATTTCTCTGATCTAAAAATATTCATTAATTGTGCAAAATGTGAATGTTTCTATCATATCATCATAAGTACCATAAATACTTGGTTCTTAAATATAACATGGTAAATAATATAGTATCCATTGTATTTCTGTAGTGTTGGACAACTGGAGCCCTGCCTTGTATTTCTCAAACTGGAGCTGTTGGGATGGAGTCCAGAGACATTTTCCCTATAGCTGTCTTTCCAAGAATTCTAATGGAGCCTGGAACAGTCAGTTTGGAGATATTTTCGCTTTATGTGTTCTTCCAAGTTTTCCCATTTTGTGGTGAGATAGACTTAGGAGATATTTTTGCTTTTCGTGTGAGATAGACTCAGGAGATATTTGCGCTTTTTGTGTGAGATAGACTCAGGAGATATTTGCGCTTTTCCTGTGAGATAGACTCAGGAGATATTTGCGCTTTTCCTGTGAGATAGACTCAGGAAATATTTGCGCTTTTCATGTGAGATAGACTCAAGAGATATTTTTGCTTTTCCTGTGAGATAGACTCGGGAGATATTTGCGCTTTTCCTGTGAGATAAACTCAGGAGATATTTTACCTTTCTGTGTTCTTCCAAGAATTACCATTTAACCAAGAGCAGAGCATTGTAACCACCAGAATACTCTTTGACAAAACTTTTTAAAGTTTTGAATATTGTTGGAATTTGATGTATTATTTATTGTATTTTATATCTTGGATTGAGAGAATTCATGGTAGTATTTGTATTATTGCAGACATTGGTTTTCAACATATTATATCAATATTGTAAACGTTACAGTTTCTATTATAAATCAGGGGGTTATAGGGGCTATACGGGAATATCATAATATTGTATACTTAATAGTTTCTATTATACATCGGGGTTACTGGGGCTATGTGAAGATCAGTGTAGTATACTTTACAGTTTCTAACAGGTCTGAGAGAATACTCGAAATCGGGTATTATCCGTGAAATCGCGTATAATACTCGATATTAGGGTATCGTTGAATCCGCGAAATCGGGTATAGGAGGTGTAATCACCTAATAAAACTTAAACAATGGGATGGCGCATGTTGCCGAGTTAACTTTCATCTAGATACACGTTTTCTAAAGGTATCACAAGCCAAGTAAGAATTTGGGCTTCAAGATTAATGCGCTCGGGACAACAAATACCCGTGAAGCTCAGTACATTTCATGATTTGCACACAAAAAGGTGTTCGATTTGCTTTATATTTTTCCCTATGTTGAAAGTAGATGCATCTTCCTAATGTTTATTCCCAACACAACAGAATTGTAAAGTATCAGAATTCGGGAATTTATAATAATTCCACATCAACACGACAAACATGAACAATTTGTAAAAAAATCAAATTATACGGAAACACATTTTACACACCAGATATGATGCCATGTTTAAACAAGGGATTGTCTATCGTATCTAATTATACATCATTAATTACTTTCACATTCATCTTGGCATAAAATCAATTTTATTTAAGAATGTATAAATAATGTAATGACAAAAATGTCTAAAATTTCGGCTAAAAGAACACCCTTTCTCTTTTTTTTGAAAATCTTTTCTTTTTTATTTATCATTCAAACATATTTGCAGAATATGTCTTCAGCATTTTAGCAGAGACAGTGATAGTTTCAGGAATATAGCTTATGAGAGAACAAAACTGTTGATCGTTTAATTTCGCTAAGTCATCAATATTTTACCATTTCTTGGCGACTTCAAAGGGGGGGGGGGGGGGGCTAAAGGCTTCTTGACCACCTCTGACAAAACAACCTAGACTGTGTTCTACATGTGTCCAAGAGACCTCTCTTTGAATGTCATGGTCGGTTAAACTCGTTCATGTATTTTTAATCGTAGGGAAGATTTATTCATCAAATAAAAATCATATACATTGTAGGTAAACAAAAAGCAACCTGTTATTTTCTAAAACAATATAAGACTACAAGTAACCAGAATTCATGTTTATTTTTCAACCACATTTTTTCATTATAGATGAGTATTAGGAAAAGTTATTGCCATGAGTAATACGTATCGTAGATAAAATAACTAAAAGAAAACTGTGACATATTGTCTAGAACCAATCAGATAGTGCGTTGTATTAGCATATTATAATGAGGTACAAGATAGCGATATAAAAAATTTAGAAGGTAAAGAGGTAAAATTTACCCTGTCTATCAAATAGTATAATAAAGAAAGGAAGTGGCTACGATTTTTATAAAATTTTAATGTCCGATGAGGAATTATATTCCCAAAAAGTGAGACAAGAGTTTCCAAGGCAATTGAACACTCCATTAAACGTAAAAACTATCAGAAATGTGAAAACTTGACTATGTAATTCAATGTATTTTAACTTCATGAAAAGATGTACACATTTGACTTTTATTTATACCCCCCCCCCCAAAAAAAAAACAAGAAAATTCTGTTCATATGACTTCTCGCTCTCAATTTGCACACAAATGCATAAAATAAAGGTAAAATAGTATATTTTGTATCGATTAAAATGCAACCAAAAAAATTACGGTGTCTTTGAATAAAAATTTCATGCTAAATTAACATAAAAAAAGACACTTACCTTCAATTAGCTATTTTCAAACTGTTTTCCCGAGGGTATTTATTTCATCTTATTTTATTTCCTTCTTTATAATAACGTTGGTATTCTATTATTGCAGAGATATACAATTATGACTCGCTTATACTGTACTCTCTAACTGTTAGGAATAATTTATATTTCACGATAAAGGGACGACATACATTTTTCAGTAAAAATTAATACATAACACGGAGTTAGTCGATCGTTTAATTTCTTTAAAATTTCACGTTTTGTGAATAGTGCACGAATTAGAAAATTAAGTATATGGAATACTTTAATGGGAAATAAAGACAAACGAAGTGTAGTTGTTTGTTTTTAGAAATTATATTGAAAAATAATAACGCCATTGTGTCCTCTTTGTTACCCCAGCAGTGTTTGTCGTGTGATTTTAAACTTATTTGAGAACCTTATGAATTAGGTTTAATAAAAATAAAATCACAAGATACTGATGTACAAGTAACAGTTACTGGCATAATGCGCCGTTGCTTTATTCTTTAGGTTTTATAGAAAGTTGCACGGAATTCCCGATTTCGCGGATTCAACGATATCCCAATATCGAGTATTATACGCGATTTCACGGATAATACCCGATTTCGACCTGTCTAATATATATATATATATATATTGGGGGTTATTGGGTGGAAAGCATAGTATTGTATAATTTATGGTTTCTATTATAATTTAATCAGGGATTATTGGGATTATGGGAATATGAAAGTAATGTTTACTTAATAGTAAATATGATATACCTGGGATTATTGGTGTAAATAGGAATTGAATGTTACAGTGGTATTTTATACTTTAGGCCAAAATAAAAAATAGTCTTGTTTCCTGCTACCCGACCTACCCTATTTTTTGCACCCAACCCTAAAGTTTTTTTTAAGCTTTTGGGAAAAAAATTCAAAATTTTAGGAATTTCATGTTATAAAAGTGAAAAAAAAATATTTACTCAAGTTGTATTACATGAAATATATGTTTAAAATATGGACTTTCATAAAATTCCACTGTTGTGCATCAAAAGACATGGAATTTCATTTTAAAAGATAATATTGACCTAGCTATGACATGTTCATTTTGGTTTTGTAGTAGTTCATATCCAGAAAATACCGTTGAAAAATAAAATTAAATTAAAAAAATAAAATAATTTTCCTACCTACCTACCCTATTTTTTTCTGGCTGGTAGCAGGAAACAAGACTATTATTTTTTTTGGCCTTATAGTTTATATAATAATATTTATACCTCTGGGGGCTATCGGGGTTGAGAGAATTTTCATGTTTTACATGTACATGTATTGTATCCGGAGTTATTAGGGATATTAGAAATTACATGTAATTTTGTATACTTTATTATAGTGTCTGAATTATATCTGAGTTAATAGGAGTAAACTCAGATTTGGAACAAACATACTTTTACTGAGGGAATGTTCTGTGTTATAATTTTCCAATGAATTTATCTTAACTTTAGTAATAACCAAACTTTTCAAGGTACTCTTTTGAGTGATGTTTGTCATATACAATATGAAGAATATAATATGCTGCTTTGTTCTTAACTAATACTCTCTCAAAACTTTTCATGATTTAAATTTGGTTTTTATATAGATATTTCATTTCTCTCCATGTGATTTAGAAGAAATTTTTAAATAATTTGATTTGAATTCCAAATTAAAAAATTATAAAATCTTTTTGAGCTTAGAAAAGAAAACTTTTCAAATTCATTATTAAGCAAGCTAGGTTAAAGTATTAAAATAATAAAGGACCTTATATAGACTTAAAGTTTTTCTTGATGTGAGTTTCATTCTCACATTCTAATGTATTTCATTTGTCCATAATCTTTAAATAGTCAATGCTTTTAATAATTCAGATTTTAAAGTGACAAACATGTTCATACATTTTGGCTTTCATGAAGTGTGCAATGAATTTCAGTCTAGGATTGGTTTCTTAATGAAAAATTAATTGAGCTAGTCAATCCTTAAAATATATTACCAGTATTATATATTTACTTGCATAGGGATAATAAATGATATATCTATAGGAGGGTTATACATATGTACATTGTATAGGGTTATTGGAATTCAAATTTAGTACCGGGTATTGCATACTTTGTATTCTCTATTATATAGGGAGGGGAGGGGGGTTAATGTAAATTTCATGTAGTAATATTTACATTCGCTGTGTTTTTCTAGTAAGCCAACTGTGAAATTGATTTGAAAACCATTTTCGTGTATACTCACGTGTAGAAATATACACGGAGAAACGTGCGTTAACGTGACGTCACAATGAGGCTGCAGTGACGTTAGTAAAAGTGCAACGATATAGGGCAGCGAAAAATTCAAATATTTAGCATATTTTAGTTGCTTCTAAACATGTAAAATGTAAATATAATGAATGTTTTTCAGTTTAGTGTGAATTATTGGTGTGTGAATCACACAGACTTGCACGTATGCTAATTTTTCATGAAGCGCGAAATATGCCTGCGTGACAAGTCTGTATGATTCACATACCAATAACTCACACAAAACTTAAAAACATTCCTTAATTGTACAGCAAACCATAACATTTTTTTTTATCAGAGAGTTTATCACTGAGAGTGTATTTGTCTCTGTATAATATTTTTCAGATTAATATCATTGCATTGTGTCATTTTTTTTTTACGAATGTTGATCTCAAATTATTGAAATTTTTTGTGGCGCAATATGTATTGTGCTTTTCAGTCTAATTAAAATTAGATCCTTGATCCACTCCAACTAGATCACTATACGAATGTATGGTGATCTAGTTGGAGCGGGTCAAGAATTCAATTTTAATTTACATTGTGCGCATTTGACATTAATTTTTGATTTTATGTAGGAATAATTTAATTTGAAATTATTGTTTTCATTTGCTCTTTATTGTACTTATTTCATGCTCTATGGTTTGTCTGGGATTACATGTATGGGAATTTAAGGATATACGATCCTCAGCCAGGAAGAATAACTCTTTAATTTATAATTTCATTCATAAAGTATTAAAATAAGGCTTGAAATTGAAATTTTTTCATGCAACAATTTTCATTTTATGCCTCTACGTATGATTCAATGCTCTTTAAAGTTTTAACAAACGGTACCGGTATTTAAAAAGTTGATATTTGTATCTCATAAAATGAAGTAAAACTTGCATATTTAAAAAAAATCAAATTTCTTTTAATTTAGCCTTAGTTACCAATGTTTATATGCATGATTTGAAATTAGAAGTGATTTACAGTGTTTTCTTTGAAAGGAAACACTTCACACACTATGCATTATGAAACAATGGAAGTAAGTAGGAGAAAGTAAAGTCCAAAT